CTAGTCTAACCGTGTATCATCCATTCAACTGCTCAACAAGTACATTTTATTTGTTAAAAAAAATCCGAAAAGTATTGTAGATTACTAAATGTAGAAAGCAACTTAAGTATTACTCTTTCATGGAACTACTTCTGAAAATGGTTCCATTCTTAGAATATTTAAAATTTTAATTTAAAAATAATTTTTAAATAATTAATGTGTTTATGGCCATAACTTTGTGTTCTTGAAAGGAATAGCTTGAATGATCGAGATGCTGCCAGTTTCTACATCTTGTGCAAGGTGTGTGAGGCTGAGGCAACTGTCAAAGAAGTAGTGTTTGTGTGTGTATTAGTGGTGGGTGTGTGGAGTGAGGATTGGAAAGGCCAGAATTAGACCAAGAGTAAAGTGAGAGCCTTCTTTTTTCCTTCCTACCCTTCCCTGCCTTTCTTTTGCCCTTTCCCCCTTTCTTTTTTCTGTTCTCACTACTCTTGCGTTCTTTCCTCCTCCCCTCTTTTATTCTATTTCCCTTTTCCCTACATCTGCTGTTTTTTCCCCTCTCCCACCTCTTTTGAATACACAGTTATGGGATTTTTAAAGTATTTTGTAATCCTTTTAGAGAGCATATTTAGCAGAAGATAAACTCTTTCTATTACATATGAATTACTACAGTGCTTCATATCACAGTTGTTCCAGGAATATATCCCAAGTAGGGAACATTCTTGAACAATTAATAAGTTATATTAATAGTAATCATTATGAAGGATAAAAACAGATAGTTTTTTTAAAAAGAAAAATATTTCTAATTCCAAAAAATGTTTTTATTGGAATTATCTTCATTTACTTGAATACAAAGACATTAAAACATTATAAGAAAATGTAGATCCAATAAAATCTCATGCTCCCTGTTTCCCGTTCACTTTTTTCCTCAAGAAATACCTGAATTCAATTGTGACATTAAATTCTCAAAAGTTTATATGTGTGTTATTAGTGCCTATTTGCAATTTTGTCATTAGTTTAAAATAACACAAAGTATTCAGTGTGGACAGATTTGAATTGACAACTAGAATGGCCTATTACCTAAGATTCAATAACCAGATGTCAAACCAGAACATTGTAAGAATGTCCAAACTAATCAAAACAAAGATTTTATTGTATGTTAGTGTTTGCTGCTGCTCTCTCCAGAGAGGATGGTGCCCTAGTGTGTTGTGTTTGTTGTTCAGGAGTAGGAAAAAAACAAAGTGAGTTCAAGTTTATTAAATTTTCTGACCTTCAGTGTCTTCTTCTGTGAAATGGAGATAGTAGTAGTAATATCTACTTAACAGATATTATGAAGTAGATGTAGATATAGATGATGAATCAAAGTATTCATGAATTCATTTATGAATTCATAGATATTATAAATACTTCATAGGTATTCATACTGTTAAGAATGTAAGTGAAGAAAGAAGTGAGGTATGTGAAAAATGCTGTCTAAATATTAGTTATTTAGTGCTCAGAAGGGACAGAGGTCATGGTTTTCAAAAGTTTTGCTCTAAGTTTTGTGTTTATGTATCTAGTTTATGGTTTGCAGAGCAGCCATGGATTTTTATTGAATTGATGAAAGCTTGGTATGTTTATTGAAAGTTTTCTGAAAGAACAATAACGTACTCATTAAAAAATTTAAATAGCCATGGTCATTATCCTCAGAGTCCCTGGGACTGTGCTTCTTGAGGAAGGACCATGTATTATTATTCATCTTCACATTCCTGTCACAGTGCCTGGTTCTTATTGATATTCAGTGAATATTTGCCTCATGATTGGATCTGTAACCCCACTTGTGGAAGGCGATGGTGGTCCAGTCTATTACTAAACAACTAATACTTGGGAATCAAACACAAAGAGTCCAAAAGAATACCCAAAATGATCCTTTACTGTATCTTCAAATTCAACTGAGACCATAAGTAGAAGCAGGTTTTGGAGTGACTCTCCTTTTTGCCTCGGCTTCTATAAACTCCCAGACTCTCAGGGTTCTTAAGTCCTTCAAACCTGGCTTATGGGATTGCCCTACAAGCCAAGTACCCAGCCATTCTCTTTGTACCCACTCTTTCTTCTTCTTCTCATCCCTAACCTCTCCACCACATTTCTCCTCTTCCCAGGGGCCTGTTTATTGTCCTTGGCCTCTACAGCAGCTCGTCAACCATCCAGTTCCACTGGGCTCTACTCTAGAACAAGTGGTCATAACAGGTGGTGGTGATGGCAGCTTTTGATCCCCAGAAACAGACCTTTTATGTTGCCATTGTGGATCTCCTCATGGCATACATAGCTACCATTTGTTATGATTCTGGTAGAGTCTCTCTTTTTCCATCTTGAGTCATATTATCAAATTCCCCTTCTGGTACCCAAGCTTAATATGTGCCATGCCCTAGAAGAAGGGTTGGGCAGGGATCGGGCTGAGGAGAAGAAAAAGAAAGACCATTCCATCACAAGTGAATGAATATACTAACATTTCAGCACAGAGGATATTCAACTAAGGTCTAAAATTTTGTTCCCTCTACACAAATCACCAGAGCTTCGATTATTTTCAGTGAAAGCTAAAGTTATCAGCACTGTTAAGATTGCAAGAAGGATCTTTCCTGGCAGCTGAAAGTAAAGAGAATGAGTCATAGCAATTGAAAATGAGTTGTGTGTGAAAGCAGGCAGAGTCCCAGACTCACTGGCCAGTAATTAAAGGATCAGAGAGTACTGCCCAATGGAAGAAATGAAGGAGCGAGACCAGTTTAAGATAGTGCTGATGGCTGGCAGCTGAATTCCCTGAATAAAATGTTTCTTCTTCAAGAACTTTCCCGTGAGCGGCACAAATGGGGCCCTAGCTTCACCACTTCATGCCTGTGAAATATTAGGCAAGTCTCTTGAGCTCTCTGAATCTGAATTTCTTAATCAAAAAAAATGAGATAACAATGACTGATAATATCTGCTCTGCCTATTTTCATAGGATTGTTGCAAGTATAAAAAAGGACGAAAATAAATGACCCAAATTGTTAATCAAATGCTTGTCTTAGATGAGCCAACAGGCCCCACTTAGAAAAGGAACTATGGATTAGAAGCCAGAATTAATAGTCCTTTCTAGATCCCTGCACCAAAATATATAATTTTTTTCCTATATTGAAAACTGAATCATTGTATTTAAAAATATATTTCATTATAAGTCCCTTCAATCCAGAATTGAGCCAATTTGTTTTGTAATTAATATAGATACAAAGCAAAACTGGCTCTTTAGAATGTTCAAATTGACTTCATCAAATTGATATTGTATCTGATTCAGGTCTCAGATATTGACTTGTGATGAAGCCTCCTTTTCAGACTCACTGTCTTCTATGTTAGGGCTTTTAATATTCTCTTGTAAGTGCAGCCAGGGGAAGCCTATCTCTTAAGATGCCTGCCCTCTTCAGTGTGGGCCTTAGTCATTGTTGCCCAGGAGCACAGTGATGACACATTCACAGTCTCCCCAGCCACTGCTGTCCTTGCCTGTCTGCATTCTAACAGGGACATTTGTCACTCTATGAACTGGCTCCTCAACTTTGACATTTAGCCATAGTGTCTTACACTAAACTCCAGACACCTTTGAATCTGGCCTAATTAGCAAGGCCACCCCATGCACCTACCCATTCCTCCCTAGGAGGTTCCCCCAAAGGCCAGCTTAGGAGTGAGGTTAGTGCTAGATTCATAGCTTACAAACCTGGCGTTTGATTCCATCCCCTCATTATGAATGGAGGGACCTCAGCATTAAGGAGAAAACAATTCTGACTTTCAGGGATGATGAAATCCAGAGTCTGGTGGATCCAGAGACAGAGTAAGGTATGGACAGGGGGCTCATCAGGGGGAACTGGACAGGAAGGGGAGGAGGTGGAGGTGGCAGTGGTTATGACAGGATTTTGGTGTCAGGAGAAGCAGATAGATGCAATTTTCTGTAGATTTATAAGTGTGGCTATTCCTGCTGCAAGACTTGTGGTCTGCAAATGGAGGAGTGACCAAAGGACTGGACAGGATGCTGGTTCCATCAGTAATTTCAGGAATAGGTGACTTTATAAGGTTCCTTGGAGGCAAGCTCCAATGGACTGACAGTAAAATATAATCTTACTAGCAGTAAAAGGATCCTGGCTGTTAATAAGCACATGAAAGGTGTTCAACATTAGGAAACGCAAGCCAAAACCACAATGAGATATCACCTTATACCTGTCAGAATGGCTATCATCAAAAGGCAACAATAACAAGTGTTGGCGAGGATGCAGAGAAAAGGGAACCCTCATACACTGTTGGTGGGAATGTAGTTTGGTGCAGCCACTATGGAAAACAGTATGGAGATTTCTCAAAAAATTAAAAATGGAACTACCATACAAGTCAGCAATTGCACTTCTGGTATTTATCCAAAGAAAATGAAGACACTAATTAGAAAAGATCTATGCACCCCTATGTTCATTGCAGCATTATTGACAATAGCTAAAATATGCAAACAACCTAAGTGTCCATCAATAGATGAATGAATGAAGAAGATACAGAACACACACACACACACACACACACACACACACACACAGCCATAAAAAGAATGAAATCTTGCTATTTATCACTACATGGTTAGATGTAGAAGTTATTATGCCCAGTGAAATAAGTCAGACAGAGAAAGACAAATACTGTACAATTTCATTTACATGTGGAATCTAAAAAACAAAACAAATAAACATAACTAAACAGAAAGAGTCATAGATACAGAGACAAACAAGTATTTGTCAGAGGGAAGAGGAATGAGGAAGAGAGAAACAGATGAGGGAGATTAAGATAAACAAACTTCCAGGTGCAAAATAAATGTGTCACAGGTTTGAAATGTACAGTATGGAGAATATAGTCAGTAATTATATAATGTCCTTGTCTGGCCACAAATGGTAACTAGACTTACCATGGTGATCATTTAAAAATGTGTAGAAATAATCGAATCACTAAATTTAAAAATGTGTAGAAATAATCGAATCACTACTACATTGTCTAAGAGGAACTAACAAAGAATTGTTGGCCATTATACTTCAAAAACGAAGAAACAAACACATAGAAAAAGAGATCAGATTTGTGGTTACCAGAGGTAGTAGATTGAGGGAGGAGGAATTGGATGAAGGCAGTCAAAAGGTATAAACTTCCATTTATAAGATAAATAAGTACTAGTCATGCAATGCACAACATGATAAATATAATTAACACTGCTGTATGTTATATAAGAAAGTTAAGATTAATTCTGAAGAGTTCTCATCACAAGGGAAACATTTTTTTTCTATTTCTTTAATTTTGTATTTATATGAGATGATGGATGTTCACTAAACTTATTGTGGTAATCAGTTCATGATTTTTATAAGTCAAATCATTATGCTGTACAGCTTAAACTTATATAGTGCTGTATGTCAGTTATATCTCAATAAAACTGGAAGAAAAAAGGCCCCTCCAAAAGGGGCCTAGCTGTTACTGAGATATATGTATAATGATTGGTTAAACTTTATGGTGATGTGCTTAATTCTGGTGTTTGAGAGATGTTACTTTGCCAGGGTGTGAAAGAATGAATGTATGACTTTATCAAATTGGTTATTTTCTCTCCTTCTTTGTGTATAAGAGGATACTGCATTCAAGTTAAAAGAATACCACTGAGCTCATGTTGTTGAAAAAAGGGGCTAATTCTTTGGTATGGGATTGGATGGCATCTCTGACCTGAAGCTGAAGAAGTCAACAGCATAAAAAATGCTGTTAATAACAGATAAATACAGATAAAATATAGTTAACTTTCAATTTTGTATAGTTTACATTTTGTAAGTTAAACAATGGCCAATGAATACAAATCTCTCATGGCATGGCTGATTACACATATGCACAGAATGGAATGCAAAGTTGTTGCTACGTTAGATTAAGCCAAATACCAAAGATGCAAAATCCATAATGAAAAAAACTGTCTACTAATGAATTCGTTTTTTATTCAACAAATATTAAAGAGCATCTACTATGTGGTTTGGGTTTATTTGTTTTAAATTCTCTGCTCCTGGTTAATTGAACTTTGACTTACTTTGGGGCATTGTTTAGTGAGGGGACAGGACAGTTGATTGATTCAGGTGGTAATTGGGACAATTGGGATATTTTTGCATTGAATTTAAAAGGGAAGGATGTATTTTAGTGCTGAGTGGCAGAATCCTACCAGGTGTGGCTTGTCTGGGCCAAGAGGGAAAAGGGAGAGGTTTGGTTCCTTCTAAACACAGCTGTGTCATCCTCTATCATTCAGGTCCTGTGCTTTTGGAGTTCCTGAGCTGAACAGTGAAACTTTCTCCTTATTGTAGCCTTTTCATTCGAGTTTTTCTTCCTCCTCAACTCCCACCTCAGTGGCCTTTGGACTGTCTAATATTTACCTCTCTGCAGAATCCTAGCTTTCAATTAGTGATCCAAAATGTAAGATGTTTGGTTTGTTCTCCATCCATTATCTCCCTCCAGGGTCCCAAGACCTTGAGGTCAGCTGAGGGGCCAGGGTTGTGAACCTTAAGATGAAGTCCTGTTCCCCACCATACAATCTGTCCAAATTATTTTGGACCCACTGTGGGTATTTCTTATGGGTCTTAGCCTCCTCATACAGTCCTGCCAGGATCAGCGTCTTAGCAGTATATCCCATGATCTCTGAATGATGTGCCACTGATTTTTGGTGACATTAGGATTGTCCTCCCTCTCATTGGTAACCTCAGGAGAACTTTCTTCCCAGAGTTAGCTTTTGCTCCTTGGTTCTCTGCTGCCCTCTGCTGGGTCCTGAGAGCCAGAGCCCTTCACTTGGCTCTACTGTGGAGTCCTTGCTCTTTGAGTACTAAGCATCCACCAAAATGCTCCACTCTTCCCAAATTCACCCCTTCCTTTTCCCATTCAACAAGCACGTATTGAGGATATTCTGTGTGCTAGAAACTGTACAAAGCCCTGGAGTACAAAGCTGAACAAACTTAGTCCCTGTCTAGAGGGAAGACAGAAGGTAAACAACAATTAGAAGACAGTGTGAGAGGGGCCAGATGACAGATAGGCAGAAGAGGGATGGAAACTGGAGAAAAGAAACATTAGCACTGCTAAGAGGTAGGGAATCCTCCACCAGGATTTCAATATTTGAGCTGGATTTTAAAGCTTGGTCAAAAGTGGGCAGGTTGCTGGTGGGAATGCAGTTTGGTGCAGCCACTGTGGAAAACAGTATGGAGATTCCTCAAAAGACTAGGAATAGACTTACCATATGACCCAGGAATCCCGCTCCTGGGCATATATTCAGAAGGAACCCTACTTTAAAATGACACCTGCACCCCAATGTTCATAGCAGCACTATTTACAATAGCCAAGACATGGAAACAGCCTAAATATCCATAAAAAGGACAACATAAGGCCATTTACAGCAACATGCATGCACCTGACGAATGTCATTCTAAGTGAAGTAAGCCAGAAAGAGAAAGAAAAATACCATATGAGATTGCTCATATGTGGAATCTAAAAATAACACCAAGAAACAAAACAAAGCATAAATACAAAACAGAAATAGACTCATAGACATAGAATACAGACTTGTGGTTGCCAAGGGGGTGGGGGATGGGAAGGGATAGACTGGGATTTCAAAATGTAGAACAGATAAACAAGATTATACTGTATAGCACAGGGAAATATATACAAGATCTTATGGTACCTCACAGAGAAAAAAATGTGACAATGAATATATATGTTCATGTATAACTGAAAAATTGTGCTCTACACTGGAATTTGGCACAACTTTGTAAAATGATTACAAATCAATAAAAATGTTAAAAAAAAGAGTGGACAGGTTGCTAGGGTCTTAGGTTTATAAACTAGGAGGGATGGAAAAAATTACACTTTGGTGCTCTGAATAACAAGCCTTCCAGAGTATTAGAGGACAATATCATAGATCATTTAAATTCATATCATTTTTGCCTTCAGGCTTAAACACTGGGGTCTTTTTATAATCCTAATGTCTTGTATTTAAGCATACAAATACCAAAGAAAAATAAATACCAGTGTTTTTCTGTTTAAAAACAGGCCAAAAAACAAAACAAAACAAAACAAAAAACAACTAAACCCACAAACACCTTGTAAAGAAAGAAAGAAATAGAGTTCCATGAATCTCTGTATTTTTTTGAAACCTGAGATATGTATGTTCTACTTCTCCTAAAAGCTGAGGAATTTGACATTTTCATTCTTGTATTATTTGGGATTTCTGTGTTATATACCAAACAATAACAGTAAGTACATTATCCCCAGAAAGATGTTTTGTTCTTGTTACTGGTGAAAAAAATTAGCTCACTAACATTTTACCCCCCAGTTATGCTGCTCTTTCACCAGAGCGCTGCTCATCAAGATAACTGACAGTTTCAGTTGTTAACTTGTAAAAAGTTGACATCCAGGCTGGGCATCCTGCTTGCGGAATGGCATAGGCTGAGGATGAATGGTATGTTAACGAATCTACTTACCTTTCCCCCTTCTCCCAGCACCCCCAGCATGAAGTATAGTAAACAGCATCTGGCTTAGTAATACAGGTGGAGAGACATTGAAACTCCAAGGTAGATGAAATTATTACATCCTTACCTGGATAAAAAATGAAAACAGAATTTTTACTGCTCAAAGAAATGCATGTCTCATCATAGAGCATGGCTTTGGCATAATCCCTTTTTGTGTCCCTTGTTCCTCTCATAGGATCTGGCCTGTGGTAGGTGCTTTCATAATGTTAGTATAATTGAGTTAATTTCTATTTCCCTGTAGACGAAGCACCATCTTTATGTCTTCTAGTTGGTAGAGCTCCTAGAGAAGAGTTTGCTTAGCTTAGTATTCTGTGGCACACGCATAGACTTACTACAGGAACTATGGTGTGGCCCTGTTTCTTTATGCTTACTCATTGTGTTCCCTTTCTGAAGCCTCAGGCTGCTGTGGTTTCTAATATGATTCAGAAAACTACTAACAGCCTTTGCCAGTCCTTCCTGAGGATTCATCTCCTTCCTGAAATAATTCAGTGGTAACTGAGATATGACATGAAAGATGAGACAGATACCATGATATCATGACACATCATACATAAAAGTCTTTCTCTTGGAGTATGAACACCCTGTAAAAGAAGTGTGTCAAAAATTGAAGAGCCCTTTGGAGGTTCTATGCCCCAAGTAGAAGGGTAAAGTAAGTGGATCTGAGAGATTGAGTTTACCACTCGAAGAGCCTCTTAACTTTCTACAGTCATAGAATATGGGACTAGAGAGCCTTTAGGAATCATGTATTCAAAGTGTGTGTTTTTTAATGAATGGTGTATTTGTATTTGTTCAGCCACTAGAAAGAGATGTACTGATTCACAATGGTTTAAAGAGAATAAGGTTTTATTTTTCTTACACAAAGAAGTCTGATAGTGTTGGTTCAGTGGCTCAAAACCCGTCATCACTGTAATTTTCCTGGCCTTTCTCTGTTGTCTGTTGCCTCATGGTTTCAAGAAGGCTGCCACAGTTCTGGACCTCATGTCCATATTCACGGCAGGAAGAGAGGGTAGGAACGGTTTTGACATCTGTCCCTTTTGTAGGAAAGCAAAAAGTTTTCAGAATTTCTCCAGATGGCTTCCTCTTACATTTCTTTAGCCAGAACTGGATTTATAGGTCACCCCTAGACATATGGGGAGTGAATAAAGTGGGGACTGGATTTAATGCTGCCACGGACAACATTGAGGGACTGTTAGCAAGGATAAACAGTGCAGGCAGTGACAGTGTGTACTACAAATGGAGAAGCATACCAGTGCTCAATACTGGTGGACAAAATATTTTTAACAATATTTTTAACAGTCAATGTTCATATGATGCAAACAAGGTAATGCTAGATTTTTATGCAAATTATTATGCATAATTTGCCTAATGCCCTGGCAGAATGTAAAATGGAGGTGGGTTACCTGGTTTTGACCACTCTGGACACCTGCAAGTGGCTGTGGTAGCCTGGTGTGTTCATCCTACTGAGATTTATCTGCATTATGGGAGACAATGTGCATTTTTGCATGTTGTGATTCTAACACCTAACAGTATTGAGCTATACAGTAGGCTCTTTAGTGTTTGT